ATAACACCATCAAATCATGCTAAGGAGTGTAGTGCCCACCAATAGAAACTGAATATTAAAGAGGTTCAGAAAGTATGATAGTGGGGGAACTGTACTCCTACAAAAAGGAAAATATTGAGAGAAAGTGTTTGAATGTGGCAGATAATTCAAATCTTTTTAACTCATCCTCAGGAAGAATTTCCCTGCTTTGTCACATTTGCCCCTAGTTTCCTAGTGTAAGTGTTCATTTTCATGCAAACACTACTTTTTATGAGAAATAAAATAATTTCATAAATATGTGAGAAATACTAAGTTATAAGGACCTGTGACTTATAAGTAATGTTTAGGATTTTCTAAATCTGCATTAAACTGGAGTTGCTTGTTCCAGATGAGTTTGCAAAGTTCTTCAGAAAATAGTATTAAAGAGGGGGTTGAGGGGAAAGAAATAATAATAATACACAAACTGTGATTAATAATAATACACAAACTGTCCCTCAGAACAGTTTAAATTAACACATACCAGATGTCTCTTTTATAGGATAGATTATGAGTTGTGACTGAATGAATTTTAGTACAAAACTGGAACTTTTCAAGCTAGTGAAGTACTAAAAACTCTAGGTATTTTGCCTGTATATCATTTTTAGATTGTTACAATGGTCAAAATAGTTAATTTTGTCCTTCCCCTACCCCAAAGCAAATACATCTGGTGTTTGTTGGCTTTCTGCAAGTGATGGCTGGACTTAGTGGCTTTGACCCTGTTTCATTGTGATTAAGATTGTTAAGATTTTATGTTTTTAGTATCTGTTTTACAACATTCTCATTACTGTGTATTTTATTAAGGTTCAAGTGGCTTGTATTTTTATGGTCTCATCTGGTCTATGTAAACCAGGCTCATGTTTAAAAGGCTACTTGTCTCAGTCCTGGACATGAGGGAATGCTGAAGTAAAGTGGGATGCATATGTGTCAATTGTATGGTGGTACCTAGAAAACTTCATCTCCTGGACTGGCTGATCATAACCTTATTACTTAAAGAGTGGAAAAGCTTGTGGCCACGTTCATATCCTTGGGTTTGTTTATTCTTTCATGCTTCATATTTCTACATTTCAGTGGTTTATAATGTTTACCTTGAAAATATGAGTAGTTATTCTTGAAAGGTTATTCAGAATGTCTTCATGCATTTAAGCAGATATGTGTATAAAATATAATCCCAATATGTTATTGGAATAATGTAGTTTTTTAGAAACTGAATAAGAAGAAATTCTATCTGTATCCAAGTCAAGGAATCTTGTGTGTAGTTTCCCATGACAATGATATGATGTTTTTCTCTCAACAGTCATATAAATTATTGAGTGTCTTGGTATCAGACTGGCAGCATGTTGTATAAGCTTCTCCTACAAGCACTATTTAACTTGACTTATGTTTAAAAGAGAGAAAAAAATAAATAAAAAGAATGTTCTCATGTTTTATTTCCACAGATTATGATGTTGCTAAGAAGTAAAATAGGAATACTACAAAAGTAAATCAAAATTGTACTGCATTAAAACAACTAGTCTCTCAGACTGTACATCCACTGAAAATATTGTTTCCCTTTTTCATATTTCTATTATCATATCCCTTTTCAACTGCTTATTCTAGAGCCCCAAGAATTTGATGGCAGACTAAAGGCCTGACTTTCTTTAAAAGTGACTGTTCTGTAAATTATTTGCTGAAGTACTGAAGTAATTCTAATACACCAGGATGACAGCTGTTCACATGCAGAAATGCACAATTGTTCAACAAAATGAAACATTTGACATTACCTCTTTTACCTCTTTAAATTCTTTTCTCTAAAATCTGGTAACATTCCTGTGGATGGAATGGAGGCTTTGTTATGAGTTCTGAAGTAAAGTCCACATTAACTACTCTAGCTGGACTTTACATCCTTTGCTGGCTCCTGTGCATCAGAACTGGCCATTCTACATCAACTTTTCAAAGAGCAGATCATTAGTCACTGCACCAAGCCTGTCTGAATTTAAGAAGCATTTGGACTATGCACTTAGTCACATGGTCTAAAATTTTGGTTGAACCTGTGTGGTGCCAGGAGTTGGACTCAATGATCCTTGTGGGTCCCTTCCAACTCGGGATATTCTAGGATTCCATAAAATCTTGTTGCTGTAAAGTACTTTTGAAAATTATACTCAGAGCTCTTGCTGTTAATGTACCTCAAAACTCCACCAAAATTCTTTTATTGTTTTATCAGGTTTTTTTTCTTTTGCTCCTCCAGCACAGACTGTCTGTCCTTACCATCAGTCATTCCCTCTTTCTTTGATTAGATTATTTTTGTTAATGACTCAAGCAAGGGTATTTTAATATGTCCTACATAGGTAAATGTATATACATGAACAGAGGTATTTTTATGCAGAGGAGCACACAAATTTTCTCCGGAGTGTGAGATGGGAGTAAAACATATTCATTGATGCTGATAAAGAAATTACACTGATAGGGCTCAGGTGCTTTTTTCATTTACACTTTATTTTTTTTTTTAATTATTTATTATTTATTTATTTTCAGTCAGTGCACTCAAGATTTGGAGGTAGCCGTTATCAGCAACGTTGATCAGCAACTCACAAAGGCCCTTTGCCTTTCCAATGCCCTTTTCTGGAGAACCTCCTGGCTTATTAGTGGAACATTATTTCCAGTGCTGAGGCAACAGAAAAGCTTCCATGCAGTCACTCTTGTCACTCAGCATTGAAAGAAGTCATAGAATGTGTGTTTTGTTTTGGATATAAAGCTGTATTTATGCTCCACTCGTGTTCAGTTCCTTTGCATGAGAGGGTAAAACTTGAGTAACAAAAGCTTTTGTTTTACCTGGAGAAAGTTATAGCTGAAATACGTGATGCCTCACTGTGGTCCACACAGAGTATGAGAGAGCTCAGTTTCTCTTAGCCGAATTAGTGAAATGAAGGAAAGGCTAGATGACTTGAAACTGATAGATTAGCAGCCCACAGCAGAAAGTGTGGCAATTCATTTGTGTGCATCTCTCATTTGAGAAGAAGAACTATATGTCTGCAAAGTTTGGATCTTATTGCTCCAGGACAAACCTGACAATGAAAACAAACAAACAAAACAAAACACCCCCCAAACAAACAAACAAACAAACAAAAAGCTCAATAAACATTGAACATCGGCTTCTTGCAGAGTTCTGTTGATATAATCCCTGGAACAGATCTGCATCTACTGAATTAGCTAGTGGCTATTGAAGAGTGTCCTGCTTCTATAGTAAAATGTAGTATGTTCCTCTACAGGTAAGGGGACACAAGTTGCCTTCATAAAGCTTGAAGATAATTTTTTCTTTGTTTGATGTATAGCTGTCCCTGTAACTTCTGAAAAAACAATAGTGCTGTCTCCTATCACTAGTGAGCCAAGTGCAGCTGTAATACAGGGGCTAGTCATCACAACTTTTCAGTGCAAGCTTGCTTAGTTTTTTGAATTAGAAAGTCCTTTGTTGCATTTAGAATACATATACTGTTTCAAAGTGTTTTGCCTGCATAAAACCATTTTCCATTTTTTGCTTTGCTCATGTACTACCTATTGCATAAACACGATATTTTATAATTTAGTATATTATCATATACTTTATTATTACTTTCTTAGAGGGGAATGTTAATTAAATCTAGTTAGCATAAAAATACCGTGTGTTGTGCAACTTGTTAAGCTTACTTTTCTGAAATTGCGTTATGTTGCATTTTATTTATTATGCTCTTAGGTCTCGGAATAACATTTTACTGCTCTTTTGAATTTTATCTGAAAATGCACAAAACTTGAAGAGGAAGTGGTTACATGTAAACTTCAAGATAGAATATTGTCCTTTGACAAGAGAAACTAAGAGATTCAGAAAGGTTTACCAGAGCTTGAAAATATTTTTACAATCTCGGTGATATGAAAAAGTGATTTTTTAAAGTGATACAAATATTAAATGTCTTGTGCACGCCATTTTAGAGGCATGCTTCTTGAGAGACAACGAAATCATGTTGATCCCTAAATACAGTTGGTTGATGTTGAAAATTTTAGACTCGGAAATGTAGCAATACCTGATTGGTTGGCCAAGAAACATGGAAAATAAGGTTCATATTTTAACAGTGGTAAGTGATCCAACGGGAGACTATCAAATGCAGTCTGGTGTCATGCAGAATGAATGTGCTGCCAGCAGATGGCAGCAGAATGGAAAAATAGGCACATAAAGATCAGATCGTGGACAAAAGAACTCAGATTTCTAGCAGCTTAGTTTCACTAGCTCTTTTGACTATGCAAGGTAAGTTGAGGTTTAATTGGAAAGGGGAAATGTCCAAGGCATGCTGACTTTTGGTGTATAACCTTGGAGTGCAAAAATTTCTAACCACTCAGTTCTGATGGAAGTTTTAAAACAAAGATTATTTAAAATATATTTACACTAGTAAATATAGTTTGCATATAAAACTTCTGACATTTCAGTAGTCATATAATGTGAAGAATGATTAATTCTGATGTCCTGTTGAACAAACTCATTACAACAGAGGAAAATGGAGAAGTACTAGTTTTAGTTGGGGCTGTCAAGTTATGCCCACTTCAGTAAAGAATGCCTTTAAGCTGGTTCTCTCTGCACATATCTTACTATTTGATTACCCTGTGTGAGAAGCTGCAGATAACTTAAATGCTGTGAATATGTTTAGTATTTCGTTTTCTTTGGTGATGTGTGTGGGTGTGTGTGTTCCCAGAAGAGAAACAAGGAGGAGTGAATGAGGTTTAATTTTCATCGTTATCTTAAAATCTGCTTTAGTACCATCTGCACTTTAGAGAGAATATGCAATGCTGTCATTGTTCTGCATGCTTTATGGTGTTCTTTACTATGAACTTTTATTCTTATTAAAGAAAGCACAGGATTGAAACCATAGGTATATGCCTTTTAATGGTGTGGGTATACATTTTTGTGCTATATTTGTGATGTATAGTATAGTCAAGCACGCCAATCCGAAGCTAAATTTTAAAAAATGCTTTTTAAACAGGATTTGATGCATAGACAAATGTTACCAGTGACCCACCAAAGATGAAAAAGGTAAGAGAGAAGTGTTATTATTTCTACCGTTCCTTTTTAATTTGTCCTTTCTTTTTTTTTTTTTTTTTGATTTGACATGTTTATATATATATATTTAGAGAAAATATGTATGCCTTAAAAAAAAAGAAAAAGAAAAAACTTTGCCAAAAACAAAGACAACTTGGGAATTGTTTTAAACGTCAAAGTCTGCATTGCTTAATCTACTAGTTAGCTGGTGATTTTTCTGTATTGCTTTGTGCAAAGAAAACTGAGTAGGAAACTCACATCTATCTGCCTATATATCTGTGTGTATCTTTATGTCTGTACAAGTTGCTTCTGAATATCTTGCCTCTTACAGTACAAGCTTATGCCCTGTTGAATTTTTGCTTACAGAGTTCAGCTTTTGAGGTTTTAGAGGCTTAGCCTGATGTTTGTGGGGTAAACAGCTTGAGACAGATACCTCAGTTTTACTTAATACATGCAAAAAAGTGAGTATATGTTTTATTAATGGTTGCAGTGGCTATGCCGTTATGTTTCTAGAGATTTTCAAATGCCAGATTTTCTTTTTGTCAGATCAAATGATTAACACATTTTTTCACAACTGCATTCAGTTCTAAAAGCATGCAATGAAGTACCTTGATTTTAATTGACCCCTGTGTAATCTTAAAGAAATCATTATCCTATGTTTCAGACAAAGTCTGTTTTTAAAGCACTTTTAAAAAGTAGTATCATTTGGTAATTAAAAGCAGTATGTGCAATGGAGTGGCTGTCTTACTGACGTAGTGAAACAGTAAGGGCCTACCATTACCATAGTATAGTAAGCAAAGCACAGTGACTATCACGCTGCAGTTTACCAGCCATGGTGTAGATGAGCAGCAAAAGTGTAATTCCTTTGACCCCTACATATAATTTGCACACATCTCTATTTCTTTCATTTGAATGTTTTTCTGGTGTTACTTTGAAATATCGTCTTTTAGCTTATTGTCCATATGAACCTGGCACTTTTTAAATCTGGAAGCAAAGAAACAAGTAGTGGAAGTTAAGAAATTCCACTGACCCAGTTAAATATAATTACAAGGTTAGAACTGGGGCCAGGATATTTGAGTTCTACATGTAACGATTCACTGCTCAGCCCCTTTTGAATGGCATTACATCATCTTGAATCCATTCAGGAAAGGAGTTGCAAATCCCACAAGAACAGATCTGAGTTATCCAAGGTCATTGTATGAACAGAATGTAGACAATTCTTTTCACGTTTTCAGTTACAAAGGGATGCTTAAAATTACATGCGAAGCAGCATTTTATGTATTAATATTAGTTTGGTTTGGGCAAAAATGTACTTATCAGACTTGATTCTTTTGCGTTGTCTTTCCCATGTGTTTGACATGTCAGGTGCAAGAGAGTCTGATCAGAGTGTTAGGAGGAAGGAGTATAAATATGCTAAGGTGCTTTGCAAAATAATGGCTTTATGTGAGCAAATGGCATCAATTGGAACAAATTACATACTACTTCCAATGATGTAATCTAGAAAGTTTGAATTGCTTTTAATGCTTTCAGTCTGAATAAATTTCTTTTCTTTTGAGTTCTTCCCAGTAATCAGCTTTTGTATTGCATGCAGCAGACTTGATCTTTGTTTATTCCTCCTTTTTGAACATTTGGTGATAGAAAGGACAGGTAGGAAAAAAAAAACAAAACCAAAAACAACTTTTTATAAAATAATTAGTCAGAAATATTTAGAGGTTTAGATATTTATTTATTTTTTTTAACGTTGATTAGTGAGCTGATGCGGTCTTCTTTTCTAATGTGCATGTTTTTATAATGCCTTTAAATAGTAACAGAGATAACAGGCCAAGTATAAATTTAAAAAAATTTAAGACAGGAGATATTTTTAATCTACATTCATTTTTCTGTATATAGACAATAAACATTAATAAAATGAGGTGATGAAACAAGGTATTGTATAAAGACAAATGTACAAATAGAAATTTTTAGTATATGTAGTGATAACGTAATTAGAGCATGGAAAGAATGGAATTTTAAAGTGCTTGCTAAAAATTAAGTGGAAGCCTTAGTCTTTCTTGTATGTTTTGTAGATCTTGAAATAATACTCATTGTCATTAACGTTTTGATGAAAAGAATTCATAGGTATGAGATCAGCATTTAGAAGAATCTTTGGTTTAGCATTTTCCAAAATTTTCTGCTGTTTAATTTTAAAGTTTATCCTTGTAAAATGCAACTACAGTCGAAGTGTTATATCAGTATCTGGCACAACATTCGCATCTTTTGAGCCATGTTTCTCCATTAAGGGCTTTGAAAGTAAGTGTTGATTAACATTTGTAATTTCTTGATCAAACACAATACAAAAGTAATACTGAATTGCATCCAAATATTTAGGTTATAATTATAAATAAAATGTCCTAATTGCATTAACTTTCCAAGGGCTTTTCTTCGACCTCCAGAGGATCAGGTAATTCACAAGTACCCATCTTGAGTAGCATCTCACTTCCAAAGGCACACCATTGACTCCACTAGAACTTTTGTGAAGATAATATATGATTGCTTAAGAGTGACGGTAGCAGGATATAGCTTACGAAGTATTTACTACTTCAGAGGCAATGTGTATTTTTTAGAGTTCAACAGGCAAAGCTATTACAACTCTTTTGTTGTTTAATCTTTCTTAGTATATATATTTTAATTGAACACTGTAATTTTTAAGGGCTCGATCAACTTTTTTATTATTGAGGTTCTTGGTATAATTTGTGATAGCTTTTCCTAAAACTTGCTAATATTCTTACAAGTGGAACTGCTTGCTAAAATATAAAATGGTTGTGAAAAATTTTATTATACTCTTCCTCATGACACATATTCATCAGTTAAGCATTCTCAAAAGTTTCATCTTTTCTTAAATGAGCTTAAGTACAATTTAAATTATATTTATCAAAATGGAATAAGAAATAAAGTGCTTTCTTCTTTGTATTAACTTTTTAATGTAAGAAATAATAAAAATATTTAAGCAACGCAACAAAATGCCTATAATTTTGTAGGTGTTAAGTATATTTTCTGAAATTACTCAAGTAAACAATGCTTTTTAGAATGCCTTCTATTGCTATAGCTTATGGAGAAATCTATCCCAAACTATTTTTAGTACAAAATAGCCTTCTAGTTTTCATTTTTTTTCACTATCTGAACAACCAGATTAATGGAAGAACACATGACTGATTGACTAGGTATATCATATAATGTCATCTAAAATTTCAGTACAGTATGTTTTGCGGTACAAGATGTAAAGTGATTTACTAGAAGGCAAAATATAGGAAAATTTTTATATTCTTATAAAAAAAAAAAAGTGTTTCCCCATATGATCTAAAGGATTAAACTGTGAGCACCTTATCTTTAAAACAAAAGCACTTTAAGGGACTAATCCTGAAATAGAATGTCTGCTGTCAAATCATTGTTCCTGAATTGATATAGTTGCAGGACTCTAATTTCTAGTGTAATCTTTTAGCGTAGTCTATTTTTTTTTAGTGTAATCATGGCAGTCAGTTACTTAAGCTGTAGATGTCCCAAAGAGTGCGAACACTGAAGAGATACTGTTCATGTGCTGGCAAAATTGAAATTCAGCACAGTTGTCTGTCTGTGGGTGAATGCACTTAGACATACATACATGTGTAGGTAAAATCAGGTTGATAGAAGATGCATTTCACCTTTTCATTTTCTGTCAGTTACTATTCAAAACAGTAACATTTACTCTAGGAGTTCAACTTTATAGGTTTCAAGCATCTGCCATTACAAAAGGGGGTGGGGAAAAAAAAATCCGAAGTATTTTGTCTTCCCTCAGTGAAATATGGAATTTCCTGCATTGTTTTGTGTGTGTCCAAGGTCAAGGATAGGCAAAACTCCCATGTGGTTCAGTAGCACATTTTGAATTAAAATTTGTGTTGGAGTTTTAAAAAACTTTATTTTTTTCCTGTTTTATTGCTAGAAACAAATAGGAGCTTTGCACCACTGAAAAAACATTTCTCATTTCCCTTCGGTTGCAAGTCCGAGTATTTTATATTTTTCAACATGAAGCATCACATTGTGTGTTTCGTTATAACTTGTTTTACATGTTATTAATTTTAATGTTTCTTCCCCTCTGATCCATGCTTGATCAAATCAGTTGTCCAAATTGCTCTGCTGTTGTCAGCAGAAATACTGGCATCTGGTATAATACATATGGCTTGATGGACAAAATGATAAATTCAAATGAACTATAGGTCATGTTGTTCTAAGCATTATAAGAATGGGCACACTTAAAAAGTGAGTTATGGCATTTTGACTGTATTTGGCTACCAGCTTGGTAAAACAATGTTTATGTGATCAGTAATACAAGCAGGAAAAAAACATTTTGCTCTCAGTAATGTGCTCCTCTTGGTGTGCTGTTCCAGGTGGTAGTTATTATAATTATCATCTAACTTATATTCTGCACTGGATATAAAGTCAAACATATACCTCTGGAACAGAAAGTCTAGAAGGACTGATTTGTTTTCCATCATTCTAGGTTTTCTGAACTACCTCTGCTTTGGTTTGATTTTCTCCTAAGGAGCAGTAGGGGGAGAGTGCATGAAGAAAACTGATTGTAGTTATTTGGTAACTTCTTGCTGCTTAAATCTTAGTGACTTAGACAGTTGCTAATTAGCATTAGCTATTAAAAACAAACAAATAAAAAAGGCATTTGAAACCACATGAACAAGACATTTTTGTAGAAACAAGCTGAACATCCTTGAATTTAATTTTGGCTGTGTAACTGTTCTGAGTTTTAGATGTGTGCAGCAAAACAACACCAGATAACAAATTTTGAAATAGGCTATTTCTGCCCCCTGTTGCTTCCTGAGCGTTGTTTTCACCTTTCCTCAAGTCTCTTCTGCATCTCAAGTCATATTGATCTCTATCTGTTATTTCCTTCTGCTTTTTTTTCAAAGCAACTCACATACTTTGGCAATATTTTCCAAATACCAAACTATCCAAATACTACGTCTGAATTTTTATTCGCATGTAGTATTTGGAATTTGGTGTTACCTAATTCTTAGGTATGATTTTCCTCTTGTCCACTAGTCCCCTAAGAGGTGCTACAGAAGGATGCTTTGTTCCTAAGTAATACATACACAAAGTTGGCCCTTCTGTACAGCCAAGAAATGCAGACTTCCATGAAACTGCTGTGGTGTGTCAAATTAGTTTGTCACATGAAGTGACTGTCTAGCTCTACGGCAGTGAAATTTATTGTACATAGGTAGTTGTTTGGTTTTGTATCCTTGCACAGAAAGAAACGCAGGCATAAAATAATTTTCTTTTACTCTGGCAGGTTTGTGCTCTTCCTAAGCCTCCAGTTAGCTGTTCTTATTAGTTACGGTAGTAAGGCTGCCTTTTTATTTTTGTTACTTTTCAACTTCCCCATCTGAGGCAGTGAGGCCTGGTCAACAAAGCAGATGACCTGCTTCTTTTACTGGCA